GGGGACTCTGAATACGCCAATAGCCTCGTCTTTATTTTTGACAGAGTTGCTGAGTCATGCCGGTGAGAAGTGGCTGGCCTGTGCTGGTTGGGGGTGACACCCTCTGGTTTTAAGGCTCTGCCACCTGGAAAGGTAGCGTAAGTGGAAGATGCTCCCCTCCCAGGTGTGTTTTCACAAATGCAGATCTAAGGAAAGCCAGGGAGCTGCTCCTCCACCCTTCCCCCGTCACGCTGTGGGCAGCAGCAGAGGTGGAGTAGAAGGCTCCCACCTGGGTAGAATCACGTTTTAATCTTGTGATGCCCCTCAGACCCGCCGTATCTCCGTTTCTTCATCTACAAAGGCCATCTATGATCCCTGAGAACTCTGACACACCAGCTCTATGTATTAGTCTAGAAATTCATGCAGCACGTGAGCTTCACCCTCGGTTACCTTTACCTCCTACTCCAAACATGAAATAACAGGACTGCAGGGGCAGCGGTTACCCTGGGGCCCTAGGGCGAGTGTGCTCACTAACTTGCCTGTGGGCCAGACAGGCATGGCCCCCGTCCTCCTCCATGTCTTCTCCCCATGGCTCCTCAGTGTAGACTTACACAGATACAGTCTCTAAGGAGACTGGGGACAACACCGGTGACAAAACAGAGGCATCTGTCTGTTCACCAGTGGCAACTGCCATGTGCGGGCGCCTGTGTGAAACATGAGGTCAGGTGACGTAGTGATGCCTGGGAAGAGCTTTGAACACTCTTTAGAGAGAATTTTATGGGTGGAATGGGATTCAGATTACGTTTCAGGTTGGATGCCAGCATTGCTTAATTCTTACTATATTAATTTTTTTAATGTGTCAAAAATATGCCAGTTATCATACAGAGTTCCTGATCCCTAATTCACTTATTCATTCTTGTATCCCTCCACTCATACACCAAATTTTAAAAAAAGTGTAAGCTCTTCGAGTATTGAAGATTCTGAGGGATAGGAGAGGAAAATGAATCATGACCTTGACCATCCAAAGCTTACTTTACAGTTGGAGAGAACAGGCTACGTAACAGCTAATAATTCAGTAAAGTATTGACTAAGAGCCCGAAAGAATGATATGGAAAGTAAATGCTATTGGAACGGGAGTGAAATAGGAAATCATATAATAGAGCAGTTGTGGAGGGGGCCGCCAAAAGGTTGTAGAGGGGGAAGAAGATTCTTAGAGGAGAGCAGCCCTAGAGAGCTTGTGTATTATATGTTCCAGTAGGAAGAACACCGCGAGGGGGTTCATAAAAAAGTACTTGGACTTTATGTGAGATTTGTTGGAGCAATAACTCCTATCACTTAAAAGGCCCCAATGAAGCTTGGAAGTTCACACCTCACTGCTGAGAAGTATGATGGCTTTTCATGATGCACATTTATACCCTTGCGTTAAAGAAGCAGGGCAGACAATTCTAAATATGCCGACGGATGTCCCGCCTGGATTGAGGCCCCTTTTTCTTTTCCTCGGCCCGACCTTCCTCCTCAGCTGGGATGTGTAATTCCACTGTTTACGGGGCACGAGACACGGCACAGTGTTTCCTAGCTGACAGCCTCAAATGGCGAGTACCCAGTCTGTTATTTAAAAAAAAACAAAACACTACTATTTCCTTTCATTCTAGAGATCTCCTTGCTCATTTTCAACCAACCATTATTTATTGAGGGCCTAAATGAGAAAATGTATGCTAAAGCACTAGGGAAAGGCTTGGACACATCAAGTATTGTTGTTATTGAGCACTGAAGGGGAGATAAACAAGGGTTCTACAGATCTCTGCCCTCAACAGCCCACTCTGCAGTTACGAGTTAAGCGTGACCCGGGCGGGATCGCTGGCATTAACAAGCAGTGTGTGAAAGATGCTGAGTGGGGAGTGGCAGGCGACCAGTATTAAAGATCAGAGGTTCTCTTTTATCTTCCCTTATCTTGGTTTCCCTTTTTTCCACCACACTTTCTTGCTTTGAAGACCCAAGAAACCTGGTTGGGTAAAGAGAGGCCATTTCCTTTTTACCCATAGATCTTGGGCGGAGGAAGGGGAAATAGATATTTTTTTATTTTTAACATTGATTTTATTTTTATTTGTGTGTCAAGGGCATCTTATTATACTATTCTTCCCCATGTATATGAGGTTATGAAAAGCTTTTGCTGCTGCTGCTGCTATTTGAATGAGCAAGGTTTTTGCATCTGTGTTTGTGATAGCTACATTCATTTGCAAGCTGTCTGACTGTGGCTAGGGGAGATAGCAGGTCTGGAATGAAATGTATCTATAGGAAGCCAGCAGGTCTTTAGGGAATCAAACCCTTGACCTTGGTCTCATTCACATTATGTCATAAGCAACCGAACTAATTGCTCACTATTGAGTAGGTTAGATCAACAACAGGACTTAAAAGAGTTCTTAATAGTATTCCAAAGACCGTAACTCTCATTGGGCCAATATGTAGGCACCAGAAGAGCCTACTTAACTATTTTCAGGCGAATGTACTTACGCAAATAGACTTTTAAGGCAGGAAATATATATGTATCTGTGATTGTGTCAACCAGATTCCTTCAGGACAAATGAGATTGCAAAGAGGTTAGAAGTCAAAGAGATCTGGCTAGTTTGTGGCTCAATCTCTCTTAAACTGCTTGATTTTGTAGAATAAATGGCTCCCCTTCTCTGGGCCTTCCCTTTCCTATTTATCAACGGGTTAGATTAGGATGATCTACCCAGTAGATGAGGGATTTGAGTTTTTCTTCCCCAGCAGGGGAAGGTAAGAGGGTGCTTTAGGGGATCTGGAGACATAGCCTAAAGCTTCACAAGTGCAAAGGTTTTTTCTTTTTTTTTTTTTTGTTAAAGTCACATTTTGTTTGTCTAAAAATTCACCCAGGTGTTGCATTTAGCCCATATCATATCCATGTTTGTTGTACGGTCTACCCTGACTCCAGGTGGAGTAAAACCAGCCCATCGGGAAGATGTCCCACGTTTATCATGGGCTTCAAGTAACTTCTGGCAGCACTGGCTTAGTTTAATCAGTAGGTTGTAGTCAGGAGTTTAAACTTCTCTGGGGAGCTCAGAGGCTACAAGGCACAGCACTGAAGCGGTTACTGAACCTTGGCCTCACATTTATAAAATTAGACTCGGGTAACAGTACATCCCAAACTCTCCAGGCTTTCATCCTGACCCTTTTAAAAAATAGATTCATCTTTTCTTTACTTTCATTAATATAATATCTAGGGCTATTTTTAAAATTTGTAGTTGCAATGTGGCTAGTGACACAGGGATGAATAATTCGGGACACGGTGTCAAAATAACCCAAGAAGGCTGTCTAACAGAACACCTGAGTTCATATACACAACAGAAATTAGAATTAGAGATTGAACACTATTCGATGAAAGGAAAACTAATTATACCATTTATTCCTGCAATGATTATTATAAACAAATTGAAGATGAGGAAAGGGTTTATGTTGTTAACATCGCCCCATCATAGATTATTATAAGGCAGCGATTTTCAACTTTTTCATCTCATGACACACATAAACTAATTACTAAAATTCTGTGGCACACCAAAAGTATATTTTTTGCTGATCTGACAAAAGAAAATAAGTATGATTTTGATTCATAAACACCAGACAGCTATTGCTATGTTGGCTGTTGTCATTTTTTTGACAGAATCACAGAAAAAAGGTCAGTGCCCCTGACTAAACAGTCAGGTATTGCATATTCTAAAAATTCTTGCGGCATACTGGGTGAAAATCGCTGATGTAAGAGATCTCATATGATACTGTGTTCTTCATACAGAACACATTGCAGTATGTTTCAGAAACATTTCTTGTAAACACAAAATGACTAAGCAACTTCCAGAAAGTTCTATTTTTTGTAAGTTATAAAAATTACCGTGTAATTTATTTAATGTCCGCATTAGCTCTCTTTGCCCAGAAGGAGTTACTGCTCAAAACCTGACAGTCTCCAGGGACCAAAAATGATTGGTCAAAATTCTGTAAACCCAGCAGAAATTTGTTGCATTGTTTCCTATAAACCACAACCAGAGCTCATTAATTGAAAAATGAATGTCAATTTGCATTAGCTGGCATCCATAAACTGAAAAAGTGCAGTGATCCTGGCATGCTACGGATAATAAAAACATCAGCAAAATGTATCAGGTAAAATAGAAAAGGTGGAGGGATAAATTCAAAACCATATTGGAGTTTACTGGCGGGCCCCACATAAAGGGTTTTAATAAGGCTTCTGCATCAAAACAAGGGAAACCACATGGAATTTTAATTATGACTACAGTACATTTTAAGTACAAATGCCCATGAGAAGCAGTTTTTTACGTTGGCAAGCCTCTCTGTGTGAGCTCTCTGCCTTTGGGCCAGGGGGTGGGGGGCAGACGTTGATGTTTTAAGTGTGACTTCTGTTGGAAATTGCTCACATTATTCTGGTTTCTTTCACATGATCCGGGCATTGAGCTTAATGTGTACAGAAGTGGCCCGCCTGTAACTATTAGCTCTGCCAACTCAAGTTCACCTAGATGCTCTGCAGGGAAAGGGGGCCGAGGAACATCTGTGGCCTCGCGGTGTGCCTGTCTCCTGCACGGCATTCATGAGCGCGGGGCGGGGAGACGTTCCATCTCGTCTGCTCCCGTTTGCGATTCTGTCATAATCGCTACTTCTCCGTGTTTCAGCTTGAGCTTGTCAGAATTTCGTATTTGGGAGGGCTTAGGTAGAGGCCGGTGGAGGATGGAAGAATTTATAAAAAGCAGAGGGTAACTGCCCAGACGGTGTTAGTTTTGGTTTGTCATCTTGAAAGTGTTTGCTTCTGGTATTAGAAGCTGCTCACTAGCTTTCTACCCTCTGCTTCTGGGGCCTGTGGATTCCGGGAAAGTACTAATGAGGGGGTGGGAACTTCCCTGCCTCCCGCTCCTTTACGGCTGTTGCTTCTCCTTCTGTCTTGGAGTTCGCGGCATAGAACGTAGATGGAAGGGAACTTAGAGCTCATCCCCCTCGTTTTACAGATGATGACACTGCCACCTCTGACTTCTGCCTCTGGCCTTCCCCTCTCAGTAAGAAGAGCCAGGCAGGTGAGACTTTTAACCATTGCTGGGCTGGGCCGGGTGGGCTGTCTGATGGCTACTGTCGGATTGGTGAGAAAAACTTTTGTTAACGACATATGGCTTTTAACAGTCACGTTTTTATTACAAATGCACACCGTGGCACAAAGTCCTGGCATTTTATGAAGGTCACAGGCAGTGTGCACTTTAACAAAAATGAACAACCCTCACTCAGCACCTTGAAAGAAAAGTATTAGAGTTATTCACTCAACAAGTATTGGAGCATCTAAGAACAAGTGCTAAATAAAAATGGGGCTGAAGAAGTACCTACTCCTTAAGGCTTCACGGGTTCCCAGGTGCTTCCCCTGATAGAGAACAGCTATCAGAAAAGCAAATACACGAGATTCAAAGAATTGGAAGATTTCAGATGCGGTCAAAACCTTAAGAACACTGGTATCATAAAAGGGCTTGTCACAATTCTGTCAATTTTAGAAAATCATAACCCGATCTTTGAAAACTGATTTCCACATGAAGTGGTTTATAACTGTGGTTTCATATGCTCAGTACCAGAAACATCAGTTAAGGAAGCACACTGTTGGTTTTAGCAGCTAAGGACTGCGCATTTCAGGGGAAACCATCTTTGTCTCCCTGTTACCTGTTCAAAGTGGCCTGAAGCGAATTCTGTAGGATGTGGTACGGGGGCCTGCTACATGGATGGTGACGTGCCCTCCTCATGGGTCCCCTACCCAGAGAGCCTTTCACAAAAACTACTGTCAGCACCTGGCCTAAATCAGTCCTATATCTACTACCGAGGCTTGAAATGCAATGATTTCTGGGTACTAAGCCCTCCTTTTACTTATTTTCATTTTTTAATTGTTAATATGTTTTTATTAATTTCAGAGAGTAAGGGAGAGGGTGAGAGAGAAACATCAGTGATGAGAATCATTGATTGGCTCCTTCCTGCATGCCCCCTACTGGGGATCGAGCCTGCAACTCAGGCATGCACCCTGACCAGGAATTGGTTCATAGGTCGATGCTCAACCTATGGTCAGGCATAAGCCCCCTTTTTAAAGCTACTTATTTAGTTTATGACCCTCGGGAGAATTCTAAGGGCTAGACCCTCCTTATATATCCCCAGATAATTTAGTTGAGAATACATTGAAATCTTCTTTGATTGCAGTCTGGTTTGATTTTTGAAATCTGTTTCTAAGATAAAGAAGATTTTAAATCATTTCACAAGTTGAAAAGAAGTGATAGGAACATGTTAGGGTATCTTTTTAAAGTCCCTTCATTGATGAAGGGGGGCCAAGAGTACCAATAGCAAAACTGATGGTTTTGGAATTCCTTTCCATTTGGTTGAGAAAATGAAGCTCGTATGCCTTAGTAAAAAAAAAATGTCACTTTCAAATATGTGAGGTGCAATGAGAAACAAAAAGAGAGAAAACAATCAATGAAGATTCAGTGTGAAAGTCTGGTGAGTGAATCTATATGATGAGTGTTGGGTTGGTTTACACCTAGGACCTAGCACACGTTTGGGTTTTTAAAGCCCTTTGATGTTCTCTGGGGGTGAGGAGCTTAAGGACAAAATGCCGCTAAGAGGCGGGGAGGGAAAAAAAAAGACTGCAGTGACCTGTGCGTTTGAAGGTCTGTTTGTGGCTTGCTGTTCCTGTGGGGGAAGCTAAAGTTTTCTTTTTTCTTGTAAAAAATTCTTTCATTATTTTAATTGATATTTACAGATTTTTTCCCCCATCTTCTGTTGTAATTTTTAGGTGCTTCAGAACTGGGCCCTTTTTCAGACCCCAGGCAGTTCCCAAGCATTTCATCCCTCACTGAGAGCCGCTTCTCCAACCCACGAATGCACTATCCAGCCACCTTTACTTACACCCCGCCAGTCACCTCAGGCATGTCCCTCGGTATGTCCGCCACCACCCACTACCACACCTACCTGCCACCACCCTACCCCGGCTCTTCCCAAAGCCAGAGCGGACCCTTCCAGGCCAGCAGCACTCCATATCTCTACTATGGCACTTCGTCAGGATCCTATCAGTTCCCCATGGTGCCGGGGGGAGACCGCTCTCCCTCCAGAATGCTCCCGCCATGCACCACCACCTCGAATGGCAGCACGCTATTAAACCCCAATTTGCCTAACCAGAATGATGGTGTTGACGCTGATGGAAGCCACAGCAGTTCCCCAACTGTCTTGAATTCTAGTGGCAGAATGGATGAATCCGTTTGGCGACCATATTGAAATTCCTCAGCCGTGGCCCAGCGGTATCTGGGAGCCACATCCCAAATGTCTCAATATATACATATATATAGAGAGAGTGCGTATATATGTATATCGATCAGCTATCTACAAAGTGCCTATTTCTTAGAAGATTTTTCACTCACTCGGTCATGCTCTTGCAACCGTAAGAGGGTAGCTGTTGAGAAGCAAAAGGCCCGAGAGAGACAATCATAATCAGGTTTCAGGTTGTTTTTGATCTATTTTTCTTTAACTAGAAACACACCACACACACACACACACACACACACACACTTTTACAAACAAAAGAAAAAAGGTATTTTTGTCGCTGTTGTTTGGTCTGTTATTAATAAACTGTTCATATGCCGATTCAGAGAGGTGGACTCCAGGTTCAGGAGGAAGAAGAGCAAAGCACTTCCTCTCTGCTCAAACCACACGTCCTCACGGGTGCAGCCGCGTGGGGCCCGTGCACCTGCAGACCCGCTGGCAGAGCCAGTCGCGGTGCACGCAAAGGGAAGGAGGCAGCATGGATGCTTCCATGGCAGTGTAACTGTTCCCACCCTGGCCTTCAGACTTGCTGCAAGTACCCCTTTGAACTGGTCAGTTCAGTTTTTTTTCTTTTCTTTTTTTCCTACTTTAAGAAAGTGACTTCAAAAATACTGATCAGGAAAGGTTATTTTATTTTACTTTTTTGTACTTTTTCCTCCCCTTTTCCCATTTAACCAAAAAGAAATACCATCCTGAAACCCCTCTCCTCCTTTTATGCAAAACTGAAAATGGCAATACCTTATTATAGCCATAATGATATAGATAGTGTTTGTGTTGGCTGTGTGTTATTGTTTTTTTTAAATTATGAATATGTGTAAAATCTGAGGTAACTTGCTAAGTGAATGGTCATATAACTTTAAAGATATATTTATAATTATTTAATGTCATTTGGACCCTTGAAACATTTCTTAGTGTATTGATGTGTTGACTTCGGTCTCTAAAAGTGCTCTTTATTAAATAACAAATTTCTTCGGGGCTAGAGCCATACCTGAAATATTGCTAAGCAATTTCAGTTCATCCGGGCACAATGTGATTTTTAAAAATACTTCCATCTCCAAATATTTTAGATGTAGCTTGTTTTTGTGATGTATGAAGGAAATGTTCTGTTTAGTTCTTTCAGATCTTTGATTGCCTCTAACACAGCTTTGCCTTTTAAAGCAATAATTAGGGATTTTAAAAGACAACTCTCAGCCCTTTATCACTTAGGTTGCCCTTTATCAGCATGAAATGCTGGAGTGATGTGGTTTTCTCATTTATTTCAAATAGCGATGACTCTTGTCATATTAAAAAAAAAAAGACAAGCACAAAGAGTCCTTGAACTGCAGAAAACGTTCTGTGGTTTCCTAGCAGAACTCTAAATCGCCAGGCTGCATAGTGAAGACACAGTGAGCCTACAGCCACACCTGTGGCTAAGGGAGCAGTAATGATACACACAGCACAGGAACGCAGAACTGCACCAGCGCTTCCCAGCGCACCCGCCTTACCAAGCAGTAGGTCAGGGGAGCCCCTGGCACCTCTCCACAGAATTTGCATTTAAAGGAGCAGAATTAAGCCATTGCCTTATGGGAGCAGGGTCCTCTGAAGCAGCAGGCCAGTCCCAGCACAGGGCCGATCTGAGAGAACATACCAGCCTTCAGGGCCCTACATACAATCTCAGACATTCGGATTTCTCACAGTGGAGGGTAAAGGGAAGGCAAAACTATGTGGAGTCTGGTGTCTACTACTGTCTATGAACTTGAGCAAAAGCCCTCCGGTAGGATGGATGCACTTTGACCTCTCCTGGCAGCCACATGGCGAATTCTCAAGTGTGAATCCTTAATAATCCAAGCCAGGACCATGTCATGACACCACCAGGCCAATCCCCGCCCACCTCCCCCACAGGGCAGGGCCCCTTCGTTTGAATTCTGTGCCCCTATTGGCAGAACTGGGTAGAGATTTGCCTCCAGCCCCCAAGGGCCCCTTGCTCTCTCTAGTGACTCTCAAGCCCACTTTTCTAAGCTGCCAAGTGTTGTAGGACAGCTTGCCGGGCTGTGGGACCTGTGCCTCGCGCCTGGGAGTCCCCCCTTGGAGTTCATCCCGATTCCTCCTAATAAAAATTGAGGGGAAACCAAACCAAAACAAAACACGTTGCCTTCTAAAGGTTGTATACCAAGTATGCTTAGATCAAGAAGCCACTTTTCTATTACTTAAGGAAGATGGAAGTAGTAACTGATACTATTTATTGTTTGTGTGTGGTAGCTTGAAGCATGCCACTGTCCATTTATTTGTAAGTGTAAAATGTGTATGTTTGTTTCAGCAGCACTTAAAGAAGCCAGTGTCTGGTTACACATTTCAACTTTAATTAATTGACATAAAAATGTTACCGCCAGTGCCAGCTGTACCCTATTTAATAAAAAAAAGGTACTATATTTGTACGTTAGTTTCTAATGTAAAAAGGGCTTTTTTAAGTTTACAGTACACATACCAAGTGACCTTAGGGATGCTTTTGTGTTGAAATGCTATTATAGTGGCTGCAGGCAGCAACCCAGGAACACTTAAACTTTTTTTTTTTCTTCCATGGGAAACATTCAAGCACGTCATCCTTCCACCCTCACTCCAACCACTCCAATGGGGTAATTTACATTTTTAGATCAAATTCTGCCCTTTTTTTTTGGCCTGGGGGTTAAATTTTTTTTTTTCCTTTTTTTTTTTTTTTAATGAACCCTTCATTTGCACTGGGTCACGAGTATGATTGGTGATTTCAAGACCAAAGCACAGCCTTACTGCTGCTCTGGCACCACGCACGAGCCAACACTCGCTGTTTCCTTCAGGTTGAAAGAGCACACAGGTTGCTGGCGTTCCCAGCGTGGCCCACAGCCGCTCCTCTGTCCCCAGTGTAACCTGTCAGAGCTCCAGAGCAGGCACCACAGCTTTGGCTTTAGATTGTGAAATCACATCCAGCCTGGAACTGGGAGACGCGACAGATTAGCTATTGTTTGCTCTTCAGACTGTCTTACCCCCGCCAGAGCCTTTCAAAAATGAGCAGAGAAATCCCACGATCAGGGACCATCCATTGCAAATTCAGAGGGGAGAAGGGTTTTGCTTGCTGGCTTAGAGAGCTCCCTCCATTCCCAGGAAAGGGACTGACTCAGAGTCCAGGGTAATACATGGAAACACAAAGCTTTAGCAAAAATATCGATGATATCCGAAAGAACGAGAACAAATAAAATAAAGGACAGCTCTTCCATTCCTTGATTTGTTATTCTTAAAAAAAAAAGATAATGCCTTTAAAAAATATTTTCTATGTGAGGATTTTTTAGATGTTTGTTTACTTCATGTTTACAAATAACTGTTCGCTTTTTACTGCAGTACTTTGAACTATATCAGCCAAAACCATAACTTACAGTAATTTCTTAGGTATTCTGAATAAAATTCCATTTTTTTGGATATGCTTTACCATTCTTAGATTTCTGTGGAACAAAAATATGTGTAGCATTTTGTGTAAATACAAGCTTTTCATTTTTATTTTTTTTCCAATCGCTATTGCCCAAGATTTGCTTCCCATGCACATATTGTACAAATTCTGCTTTGTGCCACAGGTCACGATTGTGGACGAGTTTACTCTGAACTTCAAAGGGACTATTTGTATTGTATGTTGCAACTGTAAATTGAATTATTTGGCATTTTTCTCATGATTGTAATATTAATTTGAAGTTTGAATTTAATTTTCAATAAAATGGCTTTTTTTGGTTTTGTTATGTGTGTACATTGGGTCTTTTCTCATCTGCGGTTTCTTCTCTAGTCTCACGCCTGCTCCTGCCTACACCTGGGCACTTATTGGTCATAGGCCTTGCCAGGGCTGCATGAGAGCAGAGAGCCTGTGTTACTGATGAGAGGGGAAAAAAAACTTGGTAAGCGCTGGGTTCCTGTCCTCCTCCTGAAGAGGGGTGGGCGAAGAATCTAGCAGCGAATTCACTTCCTTATCAGCCTGTGTCTGAAGGAAAGAATGCTCACCCCTTTGGCCAACTATGGACGGCTCAGTGTGTAAAGACAGCAGCCTCGATGGTTCCATGATTCTAATCTCTGAGCACGTGAACGGGCCAGCAAGTACACCCCTGCCTGTAGTCAGATCACAGGCTGCCCAGCCACAGTGGGTCGTCTACGTGCCTTCCCACATCTCTTTTGGGTTCTTAAAAAGACAGTCAACCAAAGCCCAAGGATAAGTGAGAAAGGATTTTGGCCTGGAGAGCTCTAGCCTCAGAAAAATTCTACTCGTGAGCATAACTATAGTTTTCAGATTTTTTTTTTCTGGGCCATGGTTTGTTTTTGGTAAGTCCCTCCCCGGTGACGAGGCTGAGGGCCTGGGTAGAGTGGTGGCTTTTTCTACGTCTGTGCTGTCTGTAGGCCTTGGCTGACCACAGTTCTAACACGGGGACCAGGAAACTAGTGTAGAGGAGCTCAAGAGCTGGTCAGTGGCACACGTCACGCTCTAGTTAGAGGCCTCCTTAAGATCTGCTCACTCTTAGCCCTCGGGCCCTGTTTTCTGAGAAACCGTGGAAACAGCTCATTTCTGAGACTAAGAGACATCCTAAAAGCACTTGAGTGGACTTAGGCCAGGGAACTTGTTTGCAACTCTCTGAGGATGTATACTTATTTATCCTTTTAAATTAAACATCTGTGTGACCTTAGAAGGCGTCGCATGGGAGGTGGGCACAGTGGCGTTCTCTCCCGCTCCAGCTGGGTCTCTTCTGGGGCTCAGGTTCTTGGTTTATGGAAAGGCGCTGGGCTAGGCCATGGCACTAGGGACGTTTCCGGCTGGGTGGTGCTTCGGTGTGTATGGAGGGAGTGGGGCCCTGCGCACTGGGGGTTCAGCAGCAGCCCTGGCTTTCACCCACTAGATGCCAGTGGCACAGCCCCAGTCCTGACAAAGAAAAATGTCTCCAGACATCGCCAGATGTCCCCTGGGAGGAACAACTCTCCCCCCCACCCCCACCCCCCGAATTGAGAACCGCTGGGCTAGGGGCTCTCTCTAAATTCTCAGGCTAGGCTTACTGACAGGTCTGGTGTGCGGAAACATTGCTCATTGAAACATTACAGCCAGGGCCAGGGAGAAGACGGAGGGGCTTCCCAGTGGTGGGGGTACATCAGCCTGTTCCAGCCCATCTCCTGCTGGCACCCTAAGGTTTGGGTGTGCTGCGCCAGAGGCTCCTGGCCTTGCCGACCCCGTCCCTCCTCCTCTCTGCATTGCACGGTACAGCCATGATCAGCACAGCTGTGGGCTTTGTTAGGCCTGGACGCTTGGCCATGTTTATCATGGCTGCTTCTGTTTCTTACGGGAAACGACAGGCGGGAGAAGAAAGCAATTTCTGCAGTGTTTTTGACCCCTTGTGCCGCCTGCCCCCCAAATATTTAATCATCAGACATTTCTCCCAGAGTGGGTGTTTCCTGTTAACTCAATCCCAGCCGAGATGGCCCCATATACACCTCAGCTCTCTGTCCCAGAGTTTATTTGGCTGGGAAATGGGTATCGCCATGTAAACAGGAAGCCCCCTGAAGTTATTATCTACAGATGCGGCTGAAGAGCCACGTGTTTATATTTATGGGATTTGAAAACAGCCTGAAAAGGCAAGGGAGGAGGTGGGGGAGCCCTCATTCACAGGCTGAGAGCAGGGCCTGGGGAGCTCCGTGGGCTCACTTCTCATTCCCTGTGGGAACGGGTGATTCACAATAACGACCCATTGAAGAGCCGCAGCAGAAATAGGCACGGGTGTCTGATTTAAGCAAACAACCCCACCTCGATTGTTAGGTAAACAGGCAGCCAGTCAGCTGGTCTCTGTGTCCCAATTATTTGAAAATCATTTTAGAGACTAGTCCTAGGAAACAATGGTTTGATGGATGGATAAGCCTCCATCAAAAAAGGTTGGAGGCTTATGATAAGACTAGCATAGTCACTACGTTTGTCTGGGAACAACTCAACTGACTGCCAAGTTCTAGTGAGCATGGGCCCGCTCACCTGTGAGATCCCAGGCCAACTCATGCATTTGCCCCTACAGTCAGCACGGAGGGCCGGGAAGGATGCCTGTGGGGAGAGCTGCCCGGGGCTGGTGCAAAGACTGTGCAGGTGCTGAGACAGCTGGCCTGCACACCAGGTCTACGTACACCAGCTACTCTAGTTTGTTTCCCACCCATCTCTGCTCTTCCTTCCTTGGCTCTCTCCTTGGGCCTGGAGAAGGTGCTTAAGGATGGCTATGTAAGAGCCAGGGCAGGGACAGCTGATGCTCTGTTTAAATTAGGAGCTCTGAGCAAAGGCCTAGGCATCCACTCCTCCTGGCTACTCTTTCTGTGCACTCTGTGACTTCCCAGGGCTTTTCCATCGGTAGCTACTCAGTCAGGAGAGCTTGGAATTGAAGTTTTTAGAAATGTTATGAATTAAAATTCAGCAAAGAAAAGGCTCCACTGCAGGTGCTAAGGGTAATACATACAAGGTGTGTGTGTGTGTGTGTGTGCGCGCGCGCGCGCATGTCTACATGCCCTAAAGGAGGCAGGAGGGAGGGTGGAGGATGGAAGGAGGCACCCTAGCAGACACTCAGGGGAAGATGAAGCTCACGGCGCACACACACATGCCTCTTGATACAGCATTCATTTGCCTCCGGTGTCTGTTATTCCTGCAAATGTAGAGCACCACCTTCACCCCACATGTGGTGAAGAAGCAATTACCCCTCTTCAAATAGTTTATTTAGAGGGGACCAGGGACACTGGGTGCCCCCCAAATGCCAGGAGCACGGTGAAGCTGACATTTAAGAAGGGTTATTACTAATTTTTATAAAACTTTTATTCAAAAGCTTTCTATGATTCAACCAGCCCTGCTGTTCAGACATGCTCAAGCAGTTGGAAAAGCCAAGGACCAAATTTTTGGGAACCCACTGAACCTTTACTAAAACTTATTTTAATTCTTGGTCTTATTATCTTGGTGCAGTAATGTCTGGCCACTCTGTGGGGTTTTCTGGAAAACCTGCTTTCTGTTTGAGCATTGCATACATAACTCCTGGATTGCTATCTTCATCCCAGGTCATTCTGTCCCACCCCAGAACCAACAGAAAGAATCCCCCCCCCACCCGTCATTCTCCTAAAGAAATCAAGGCCATATAGCAAAATGCTAAAATTCTTCCACAAAAGCCTCTCAAGACGTACTCTTGTCTCCATAACAAGAGACAGGACACAGAATTGCAGCCAGGCCTCGTGTGGCCTGTACACGTCAGGCCTTGGGACATTTCTCCTGGGAGCCCGCAGTGCTGGATGAGCGGGTGTGGAGAACGGAAGTGGGATTACAGCACAGGCTCCGGGGAACTGGGAGACACAGGAGCCTGCGGCAGAGTGCTAGGGGTTTTTGAGAGAAGAAGGTACCAGCAACTCCTAACACACAATGGGATGATGGATTGATACCACTGTGCAAATTTATTATTTAAAAACAGCAAAGAGCGAACAGTATACTCATGTGACATGCCTAATGGTGTGGGAACGAATAACCATGACCTAAATCTCCTTTGACATCCTTTCCTTTTTAAATTAGGTCATTTATTTTTTTTATAACTCCATCTATCCCAGACCGTTCAGCCAATCGGACCAGTTTCACTTTCATTTTCTCTGTGAGTCTCTCTTTATTCTTCTGCCCCTGAATGAGAGGAGCCATCTTTACATATTCCAGCGATGCCTCAGCCTGATTCTGTCCTCTCTAACAGCCACTTCATATTTCAATCTTGAAAGCCACGGTGCCCTTCCTCCTTTTAGGCAGTGTGTTTAAACCGTCTTCTTGGCCCTGGCCGGTTGGCTCAGTGGATAGAGTGTTGGCCTTCGGATCGAAGGATCCCAGGTTCGATTCCAGTCAAGGGCAGGTAGCTGGGTCCAGGCCAGTGTGGGAGGCAACCAATGGATGTCACATCGGATGTTTCTCTTTCTCTGTCTCTCCCCTTCTCTCTAAAATCAATGGGAAAAAATATCCTTGGGTGAGGATTACCTCCTCCCTCTCCCCCCAAAAAAAGAGAGAGAGAGAGAGAAATTTTTTGTGTGTGTGGATTTGGAGGCATAAAAAAAAAATCAGACCCCCCCACCCGTCATTCTCCTAAAGAAATCAAGGCCATATAGCAAAATGCTAAAATTCTTCCACAAAAGCCTCTCAAGACGTACTCTTGTCTCCATAACAAGAGACAGGACACAGAATTGCAGCCAGGCCTCGTGTGGCCTGTACACGTCAGGCCTTGGGACATTTCTCCTGGGAGCCCGCAGTGCTGGATGAGCGGGTGTGGAGAACGGAAGTGGGATTACAGCACAGGCTCCGGGGAACTGGGAGACACAGGAGCCTGCGGCAGAGTGCTAGGGGTTTTTGAGAGAAGAAGGTACCAGCAACTCCTAACACACAATGGGATGATGGATTGATACCACTGTGCAAATTTATTATTTAAAAACAGCAAAGAGCGAACAGTATACTCATGTGACATGCCTAATGGTGTGGGAACGAATAACCATGACCTAAATCTCCTTTGACATCCTTTCCTTTTTAAATTAGGTCATTTATTTTTTTTATAACTCCATCTATCCCAGACCGTTCAGCCAATCGGACCAGTTTCACTTTCATTTTCTCTGTGAGTCTCTCTTTATTCTTCTGCCCCTGAATGAGAGGAGCCATCTTTACATATTCCAGCGATGCCTCAGCCTGATTCTGTCCTCTCTAACAGCCACTTCATATTTCAATCTTGAAA